CTCGAGGTGTGGGTTAGAGTGCTCCGGGGGACCGTTCTTCGTCTTCTAGTAAAACAAAACAAAACACAAGAACGGTGTCTGTTGCAGGGACTTCACAGTCAAAGTACACAGTGAGAATTACAGGCCACTATGACAAGTGGTGCCACATGGGATCTACATTCAGAAGGGTTACAGACGTTTGCTTCTCAAGCGTAGCGCACGTAGAAAACTGCGTAACTCATAGATGGGTGATTCTAGCGTGCGCGTGTGTGTATATATGTATCCTATGCCCATTCATCTGCTGATGGACCCTTAGGTGGCTTCCATACCTCGGCTATTGTAAATAACTCTGCAGTGAACATAAGAGGGACATGTATCTTCTTGTTCGGCCATGTGCACACTGTATATGTAGGAATCGTACACTATGTTCTACTGCGTGTCTGGGCCTTTTGGCTCTGCGTCATGATCGTGAGACGGACCCGTGCGTTTGTACGCAGCTGGGGAACCACCATTCCCGCTGCTTCCCCGGGACCGCACGTGCGAATGTTCCACGGCGCATTTAGTCCACTTTACTGTCGAAGGACATCGGGGACGTCCCCAGTGCTTAGCTAGTGGGAATGTGCTGCTGTTCACATTCTAGGGCGTGTCTTTCCGCGGACGCACGAGCTCGTCCCTCCTGGGCACGTACCCACGGGGGCCGATGCCGGACCGCAGGATATTCAGATGCCAAGTGTTGGTAGAAATGGCCAGCGTTCCCAAGGGGTTGTACCAGATTACACTCCGGCCAACAGAGCCCAAGTCCCATGTGGTTTCAGATCCATGGCGGGGGCCCGGTGAAGTTTTAAAACCTCTCTCAGCCTCAGTGTTTTCATCTGTAAACTGGGGCTTCTGTGAACACTCCGTAGAATCTTTACCCTGGTGTGGACTTTATCAGCGGGAGGCCACTCTTTCCTGAAAAACTCTGGGGTCTTTAGAAATCTGGGTAGGTGACACTCTTGTGACGAAACGCAATGGTCTTCTCAGGGAAGTCCACAAAAACAAGTAATATAAAAGTTCACTTTTCACGATGCAGTCTTCTTACACGACTGGCTGTTTGCATCCATGTACGTGGGGTTACTTTTCGTTTCACGTTGGCTCCCATTTGCCTTTGAGATACGAAACGACATCAGATACAAAAATCATTAATATTTGTCGAGAATCCTATATATACCATCTCCTTGCATCTGTGGTTGCTTGTTTTTTTTTTATTTTTTTATTTTTTATTTTTTTTTTCAACGCTTTTATTTATTTTTGGGACAGAGAGAGACAGAGCATGAACGGGGGAGGGGCAGAGAGAGAGGGAGACACAGAATCGGAAACAGGCTCCAGGCTCTGAGCCATCAGCCCAGAGCCTGACGCGGGGCTCGAACTCACGGACCGCGAGATCGTGACCTGGCTGAAGTCGGACGCTTAACCGACTGCGCCACCCAGGCGCCCCTGTGGTTGCTTGTTTTAATCATTTTGCCCATACCTCGACAAGCTAGAAAATCTTATTTATTTATTTATTTATTTATTTATTTATTTATTTATAGAGAGAGTGTCAGAGTGGGGGGGGGAGGGGAGAGGGATAGAGAGAGAGAAAGGGAAAATCTTAAAAAAAATTTTTTTTTTATGTTTATTTATTTTTGAGAGAGAGAGCACAAGTGAGGTGGGTAGGGGGAGGGTGGTGCAGAGAGAGAGAGAGAGGGAGGGAGACCCAGAATCCGAAGCAGGTTCCAGGCTCTGAGCTGTCAGCACAGAGCCCGATACGGGGCTTGAACTCGTGAACTGTGAGATCATGACCTGAGCCGAAGTCAGATGCTCAACCAACTAAGCCACCCAGGCGCCCTATGAGAGAGGGAAAATCTTAAGCAGACTCCACGCTCAGCATGATGCCCCCCTGCGGGGCTCAACCCCACGACTCTGGGATCATGACCGGAGACGAAATCAAGAGTCAGACACTCAACCAACTGCGCCACCCAGGCACCCCGAGTTAGAAAACTTGAAGGTGCTATATAAGCAACCTGTAAAAGCTGACTCATAGGCACAGAATGGGGAATTTATATAAAGATGTATCTTTTCTAGAATGTTCCAAAGAACTCAATTACTGATGGGGGCGGGGCACCAACTCAGATTCACCTAGCTAAGACTTGGAAAATAATTTGCCGCCTTCGTCCTCTTCCCCAACCCCTATCCGCATCCCTGCCTTCCAAATCTATACACTGCTTTCTGAAAATTCAGTGGTTTCTGGGTACATCTAGCTTGAAAGACAGTTTGGTGACATCTTATAGACCTGGGGACAGGCATACCCTGGGACCCAGAAATTCCATTCCTAGGGCTATTCCTACAGAAATGCATGCCTATAGGCACAAAGAGTATTTGAGGCAGGAATGTTGAAAGCCCCAACTGGAGACAATCCAAATGTCCATCAAGGGGATAATGGGTAAACAAATTGTGGCATACTCTTTCAATGGAATACTATGCAGCAGTGAGAGTGAACCAGTCAGCTACACGTAACAACAGATGAATCTTTTTTGTTTGTTTTTTACATTTATTTATTTTTGAGAGACAGAGTGAGACAGAGCACAAGTGGGGGAGGGGCAGAGAGAGAAGGAGATACAGAATCTGAAGCTTGCTCCAGGCTCCGAGCAAGCGGTCAGCACAGAGCCTGACGCGGGGCTCGAACCCACGAACTGTGAGATCATGACCTGAGCCGAAGTCAGTCATTTAACCAACTGAGCCACCCAGGCGCCCCAGCAGATGAATCTTAAAGACATGACACTGGACCAAAGAAGCCGGACATCACGGGATACATACTGTGTGTCCAAAAAGATGCAAAGTGGAGCTGTATTGTTTAGGAATGCACAATAAGGTAGTAAAAGTATAAAGAAAAGCAAGATTATTAATACTGTAAAGTCACCATAGTGATTATTGCTGTGTGTGTGTGTGTGTGTGTGTGTGTGTGTGTGTGTGTGTGTTTGTGTTTCTGGGAAAGGGGCAATGTTCCATTTATAGCCCTGGACCTGGGTGTTAGTTTCAAGAGTATTCGTTTCAGGGCAACATCTTCACCTGTACATTTATGCTTTAGACATTTTTTCTGTGTGCTGATTCAATTTCGCAGTATACAAAGGGGAATGGGAAGTAAATTGCAGTGGTTCTGGAAAGAAGCGAACACCACGCCCCAAATACCACCGGGAAACCCTGTCCAGCCAACTAGGACCTGGCTTAATGATCTGCCGCTGGCAGTTAAGATTTGCCGCCTCTGGAATCTTTTCAAAGATGAGCCGGACCTTTTATGCCAGCTTGCAGGGCCTCTGTGATTTGAAACTTTGACAGAAGTACCCCCAGACCGTTCTCCTCAAAATTGTGTCCTCTGCTAAACAGACCAAATTTGTTTAGGGACTGACTGCACCCCTAGACTCCAATCCCCCCTTTTTTTTTTATCATGAAGTTTCTTCCTCCCAAGCTCCTCTTTGCAAGATGCCGAGAGCGTCCGGTTGTCTGCAACCGAAATGGAACCCGTTGGAAAACAAGGTTTCCTCCCAGGGGAGGAGGAATCTGTCGTCCCGACTCCCCCCCGCCCCCCCCCCCCAGCCTCCCGACCATCCAGCTCTCCCCTCTTCTCCCCTACAAACTCCGCTGAGCCGGGTCCCCTCGCGCCTCCGCGATTGGTCGCGGGCCATCATGTGTCGGCATTCTGGGTGGGTCTTTCTCCCGTTCAACTCATCAGTCGCTCCTCTTTGGAGCTTCGCTGGCTAGTGGTTTAGACCTTTGAGCCCATTTTCCCTCTTCCTTCCTCTTCCCCCACCCCTCCCCACCAGTCTTATTTTAGCAAAACCTAGAAGAGAAGGAGGAGGAGGAGGCATTGGGGGGTGGGGGGTGGGGGGACGCCAGGCACTGCAGCATCCGGGAGCAGCTATTGAGTGGCTAAGCGAACGGCGCATACCTCTCTCTCCCTCTCTCTCTTTTTCCCCTGTTGGGAATTTTCAGGATTTCATTGCTGCAATTTAACCCCGAGATGAGGCACGGTTAAGCGAAAGGCTGCGTGCGCGCGCGCCCGCGCGAGCGCGCGCACACACACACACACACACACACACTCCTTCGTGAGCAGAAGAGGCAGCCGCTCGTGATTCAGGAAGAAAAAAAAAATCACCTGCACCCTGCGGCTTCAAGACTCCTTAAGAGCCCCTCCGGAACGTTTCCCTCCCCCTCCCCTTCTTTCCTTTCCCGTTAATATTCATTTTCCTTTAATTTCATTATCATTATCATTATTATTATCATTATTTTTGGCTACAGATCTTTGAGCATTTTTAAGGTCTAGGAACTCAAGCAAAACAGAAAGGGGGATTTTTTAAAAATTTTGGGGGCTGCCCTCCCCCCCCTCCCGCAAAGACCTCGTTTTTATTTTTATTTTTTCAATAAAAATTTTTTTTTCCTAATGGGCCGAGCGCACTCCTTTTGCAAGATGCCAGCCTGACCCGGACCTCGGAGGAATTTGAAGCTTCCACTGCGTCCCGGGGGGGGCGTCCTTTGCAAACCGTTCGCGTCTTAAAGGGGGTGTGCGTTGTTTTTTTTTTTTTTTTTTAACTGTCTTTTTTTTTTTTTTTTTTTTTTTTTTCCGGAGTGGGTGGACTGGGGATTGCCTGGATTCCTTCCTCGGTTATTTTTTGCCTCGCTTCCCTCTCCCCTCCCCCCTCCCCGGCCCCCGCGCCCCGCCCCCGCACCCTCCTCCCGCCCCTCCTTCTCCGGGGTCAGCCAGGAAGATGTCCCGAGCCGCTATCCCCGGCTGGGGCCGGGCAGCCGCCTTGTGAGCCCCCGACCCGAGGCGCCGAGCCGCCGCCGCCCGATGGGCTGGGCCGTGGAGCGTCTCCGCAGTCGCAGCTCCAGCCGCCGTCTTCACAGCCCCGGCAGCATCGGCATCGGCATCGGCGGCGGCGGCGGCGGCGGCGGCGTCTTCCGCATCGTTCGCCGCAGCGTAACCCGGAGCCCTTTGCTCTTTGCAGAATGGCCCGCTTCGGAGACGAGATGCCGGCCCGCTACGGGGGAGGAGGCTCCGGGGCAGCCGCCGGGGTGGTCGTGGGCGCCGGAGGCGGGCGAGGAGCCGGGGGCAGCCGGCAGGGCGGGCAGCCCGGGGCGCAAAGGATGTACAAGCAGTCAATGGCGCAGAGAGCGCGGACCATGGCCCTCTACAACCCCATCCCCGTCCGACAGAACTGCCTCACGGTCAACCGGTCTCTATTCCTCTTCAGCGAGGACAACGTGGTGAGAAAATACGCCAAAAAGATCACCGAATGGCCATATCCTTTGCCCGAACCCGGCAGCGAACCCCGGCAGCTGCGCCTCCCCCCTCCTCCCTCCGCTTCCCCTCTTCCAGGCTGGGAGAGAGACCCGGGGGTTGATGGGAGGTGGGGGGGTCTTCCAGGGGCTGGGAGAGGGGGCACCGGGGAGGAGTGTGGAGAATCTCTCCACCCCGAGCTGGGTTGAGCTACCGTGGAGGCTTGGGGTGGGGGGAGCCGGGGGGAGCCGGGGCAGCCGGGGGAGCGGATTCCTCCTAAGGACCGATTCCGGAATGAGGGCTGGGCCCTGGGGTCGTCACAGGGGCCTGGGTGGGGGGGGCTGCAGGGCCAGGTCCGGGTGGGTCAGAGTCTTCCCAAATGAGCATGGACCCGGCCGGGGCCTGGGCTCTCTCTCTGGCCAAGGCAGGAGAACCGTGGGGGGCTCCGGCCGGGTTTCCTTAGGTGCCCCTCGCTGGAATCCGCCGGAGCCTCCAGGAGCCCCATCCCAGCTCCCTGGCTTCTCCACCCCTGCCTTCCCTGAGGAGGAGGGGGCCGCTCTCTGAGGGCAGGGCGTTAGAGGGTGCCCAGGGCCAAGAGCTAGTGGACGAACATGTGGCCTTCACACTGAGGGGCCAGCGCTGGTCCTAGGTAATATCCCCGGCCGGGCCACCGGCCCGGATCCGGGGAAGGCAGTGGTGGGTTGGGGGACACTTCTGCTGCCTGTGTCTGCCAACCACTGCTCAGGGTCTCCATCATCGTTTGGGGTGTACAGAGCATCCCATTTGCCCCATCTAGGGCCCCGAACGGAAAGACCCAGATGGACCGTTTCAATAAGAAAGATAGGGCAAAGCGGAAATGGAGCGGCAGGTCCTTCCTAGGGTAGAGTGTCAGGCCGTGGGTTGGATTCCGCTTCTCCCACCCTAGGGAGCCGGGAGGGGACACCGGGAGAATCAGCCTCCATGTGGACACCTCCAGCAGGTAAACGCCTTTTTTTTTTTTGTTTTTGTTTTTTTGTTAAATCGAAGGTCCAGAGGAAGTAGGTGAAGACCACATTTTTCTCTATGGAGATGCTATCAAAATGCAGATCCCCCTTGTGTTTCTTTAAATCTGTGCCTGCTTGAAATAAACCTTGAGGAGGGCTTAACATCTGTTAAGATGTAGGCAGGCAAGGATGGGTAATTAGTTGGGCTTTCTAGCAGTTATTTAAGCGTGACCCAGATTCCAAGTGGGGGGACGCACCCTGCCCCCCAGGCTGACTGGCCACTGTGCCATATGCCCAAATGTGCTGTTCGTCGGGTTGGTTCCAACTGGCTGCCTTCCGGGTACAAATGAACGGGGCTGGATGAGCCCCCGTGCCATCATCTTTGGTTTCCACTGCTCTGTGCTCAACGGGGCTGGGCCTCAGGTGGTCCCAGGGTTGCTTGTTTGGGGAGCTGTGTGGCCGGTGGAGTCATTTTTAGGCAGACTCAAAATCGAACCAGCTTGCGGCTTGTGGGGGCTGCAGTTGTAAGAGGGCTCTGAGGTTTTGGAGTGTGTGAACAGTCTGCTTTTGAGGGTGGTGGAGATTAGGAGGCTTGGCTGGGGTCTTTCTGGAGGGCCACACCCCTAAGCGTGAGGTCATCTTGATTGGTGCGCGAAGCAGGAGCCCGGTGGCTGCCTCCCGAGTTCCAGGAGCCCGGTGGCTGCCTCCCGAGTTCCAACCTCATGAAGACCCACTGAGATACTCAGGGGTCTTGTGATCACTCTGCCGGCCTCCCCCCAGCCCCCACTCCACCAGGGAGTGATGGGGGCTTGGGGGTGGCAAGGTTCAATGTGTGCACGCTCAGATAACTCCGGGGGGGTGTCCAGGAGGGGTTCACTGGGCTGACAGGTTTCCATGTTGAAAATGGCTTTGGATTGCCTTCTGGAGCCTGGATTTGGAGTCTTCTAAGAGGAAAGGAAGGAGGTGGGAGTCCTAACGTTGTGTCCTTAGCTCACCCCGTCCAGCCTGAATCCTGCAGATCAGGGGGCTGCTGGGGAGGGAAGGGATTGCTCGCGACCCCTCAGAGGGAAGATCTGTGGGGCGAGACGCGGGTGAATTGGGAGCGTTCTGTTAGTTCTTTAGGTTTTCTGTGGCTTTCTTGCTCTTGGTAGCTTTGTGATGAGTTTGTGCATTTTGCCGTCTGCAGACAGTTTTTATTCTTTGGCCCGAGGTAGCAAACACATTATACAGCCCCGCTCTGGAAGGAAGAGCTCCCCATCCCCCAATCTGTCACCAAGCAGGGTAATCCAGGTCTGAGCTTTCTGGGTGGGGGGTGGGTGAGGGGACAGAGAGCTGGGCCGGGGGGGGGGGGGCGCTGGGGATAAGAGAATCGGGGCTGGAAATGCTGACGAGTGAAGGCGCCAGGGCAGAATGTTTGCTTCTATATCCAAACGCTTCTGCCGTTTAAAAAGCTGTATTCGAGTACTTACTCCGAACTTTCAGAAGAAAGTCTAATATACGCATACAAAAGTACACAAGTCAAGTCCAGCTTCATACGTGCTCACAAAGTGAACGCGGCCGCACCACCAGTGCCCAGGGCAAGAAAAAGGATGTGACCGGCTCCCCAGAGGCCCCCCCCCCCCGGCCCCTCTCCCCCCGGCTCACACCACAGGGCTAACCACTACCCTGACTTCTAGCCCCACAGATTCATTTTCCCCCATTTGAACTTCCTGCCTGTGGAGTCACAGGCTGTGTTTCTCTTGCTCCATAGCACGTCCGCGAGATTCGCCCCGTTGCTGCAAGTGTTGGTTGGCGGTGGTTCTTTCTCCTCGCCGCGTGGCGTTTTGCCGTGTGACTCCACCGCTGTGGGCTCGGCCCCTCTGCTTTTGGGGGGCCATTTGGGTAGTTCCCAGATTGTGCTCTCAGGGACATCCTCGTGCACGTCTTTGGGTGGACTTTTTCTGGTTTTGTTTTTGTTTTAAACCTCTCTCGGGTCTCTCTACCTAGGAGTGGAGCTGTCCCTGCTCTGCTTTGATGCACGCGTGGCAGGACGTGTATTTGGAAGTGGCACTCCCTGGGGGCTGCGGCTGAATCCAGAAAGCACCTTCTTGACCGTCTCGTGGAGGAGGAGTGAGCGAATGTTTTTGCGCACTTGGCTGTATGCTCGCGGGGCCCAAGAGTGTTACTTCTAAATGCAAATTCCAGCATGGCACGCCGGCGGAGGGCACAGCCTCGCATTCTCCGTGCTCTTGGGCGCATTGCCACCGCAAAGCCTTCTGCCCTTCTGCACCCTGCTCTCAGGGCAGCTTGAGCTGGAAGCCGGCAATGAGAATCGGGTGTCTCTCATTCGTTTTAGTGCTCTCTTTTTAAGCAAGAAAACCCAAGTGGGAGCTTTAGATGTTCAGTTTGACACGGCCACCTTTTCCTCTTGGAGGATGCTGTTGACCACGCGCATTGGGTTCCGTGTTTTCGTTGATCGGGCGTCTGATTTCAGTACGGCCGGGAGGGGCTCTGGGGCTGGCTTCGAAAGAGCTCGAATCTTGTCAGTTCACTAAGGTGCGTCTGTCAACCTTGCTGGAGCCCCCACTTAATGCCACTCAGTCCTTCTGATGTGCTACCAAAAGCCAGTGTGACTGTCAGCTTCCCCCAGTCCTGCCGATGTCAGCAGATCTCCCACTGAGCGCGGTGTAGGAATTTGGGCCATTGCAAGAGCCACAGAGCCAGGTCTCTGTGCTGTCACACTCGGTCCCCTGCACCGCACACGGGGTTCCAGCTTCTCACCCTTGTTTCCCGCAGTCTGCCCAATAAGCCGAGTCCCATCACCTCAGGGAACCTACAGACGTTGGCCGATGGGTGTTCCCCAGTTTTTTCCAAGAGGAATGTTCTCTATGGGAAACAGAGGGAGTCCCGGGAGAAGTTGGAGCGTGTTATGAGGCTCCCCTTGTCCTGAGAAGTAGAACGTGCTAGAAGGTACCATTGTAGAAGGCAGGGCAGGGTGATCCCACGGATCCTTCTTCTAGATGAGCGTGGCTGGTATTTCCAGAGGAGCAAAATTCGGGGAAGTAGGAATCAGTGTGGCTTTTGCGTTGGGACTGTTTCTCCCCCTACAAAGGTGCAGTTTCTCCTCTGCAAGCCCCAGGCCCCAGAAGCTCTGAAAACCAAAAGGTCGGATCATATAGGGGTAAAAACCTACCTTGAATTGGCCTGAGTTTTTAGGTTTCGTGTACAGCTTGAATTTATCCCTCTTGGGGTGCGTTTTGGTGCAGAAACGTTACCGACGCTGGGTCATGGGGTGCTGTTCCCGCTCTGTGGCGCTTTCCAAACGTTCACATGTGTGTGACGATCATCTTGTTAAAATGGTGATTCTCGTCCAGCGGGTTTGGGGTGGGGCCCGGGGTTTTGCTTTCCTGGGCTGTTGGTCCGCGGGTTACACTGGGAGTTACTTTTTTCTTCTTTTTCTCCGAGATCGGGTTTATTGAGATATAAACTACTGATAGGAAAATTCACCCTTTCTGCCTACAGGACCGTGAGTTTTGGCACATGCATGCAAAAAAAATCACGTAGCCACCACCAGAATCAGGATGCGGAAGCTTCGGGGCGCCTGGCTGGCTGAGTCGGTGGAGCTCTTGATCTCGGGGTGGCGAGTTTGAGCCCCACGTTGGGTGGAGAGATTACTTAAAAATAAAGTCTTAAAAAAAAAAAAAAGAGAAAGATGGGGGACGGTTTCAGCATCCCAGGAGATACCCTAATGCCCTTCTAGGTCAGCACTGCCTGAGACCCTTACAAGCGCCCGTCTATTTTTCATCTTTATATTTCTGCCTTTTCCAGGAGGTCGTATAAATAGACTCATACCGAATGTAGCCTTCGGAGCCTGGCTTTTGTGCAGCCGTTGAGATCCATTCATGTCGTTGTGCGTATGAGTAGTTGATTTCTTTTTAGTGCTGAGTAGTATTCCATGGCTGGACCAGAGTCTGTTCATCCGTTTCCCAGTTGAAGGGCATTTGGGTTGCGTCCAGCGGGGGCGATTATGACTAGAGCCGCTGTAAACGTTGGCAGTCGG